AAGTACCCCCCTCCCCCCCACCGCGCCTCCGCCCCAGATGGCCGCTTCTGGCCGAATGCCCGCGCCCCAAGACGACCCCTTCCAACGCCTCGAGGCCGCAGTCGCCGCCGCCAGCGCGGCCGGCGACCCGGACGCGGCTATCCTTGCACGGCGGCCGTGGGCGAGCGCGGGGTCGCGGGAAGAGGCGCTGAAGACGGTGGAGGGCCTGCTGAGGCTGAGGCCTGACATGCGGGCGACTGGTGGGCTTCCGTTTAGCGACGCAAAACAAGCGTGTTTGCGTGCGAATGTATGCATGGGGAAAGCTGCGACGTGAGGGCTTTTCGGGCGCTTTGAGCAAAGGGGTGCAAGAGGGCCGAGTCCGCCGCCGCGTCCGGATGCACAACGCAAGCTGGCCTCATGACTGGCAGCACACTCCGCCTTGCAGACCCAAGCCAACTCCGAGCCTCCACAATCAGTCGAGTCGACGGCGCTGTGACCCTTGCATCCCGCTTTGTCGGTCTCCATCTCCTTGGTGCGCACACATACGCACACACACACACACTTGCATGTCCACATACACCCACATGCACGTGCACGCCCACACACACAGGCCGTGTTGTTGCAATCCTAATCCCCTCCCCCAAGCGCGATGCCATGGTGGGGGTGCTCCTGCCCCTCAACCCCTCCAATGACACCTACGGGCAGCAGCAGCAGCAGCAGCAGCAGCAGCAGCAGCTGCAGCAGCAGCAGCAGCAGCAGCAGCTGGTGCCGCTCGACCCCCGGCTGCCGCGCTGCATCGTGACCGCGGAGAGCCTGGCGGGGCTGCCAGAGGAGTTGAGGTGGGCGCAGTCCTCGGGTTGACAATGCGGAGCCTTCGCACGACGTCAGCAACTGAACCCTGCCTGAGGGCGGGTGTTCGGTTGGGGGAGTGGGGAGGGGCGGATCAGGGTCGTCAGGGGTTACCAGATGATTGAAAATTGTGGGTCTTGACGGGAACGAGGGCAGCTGTGCATGCCGCTCTTCGCCCCCCCTCCTCACCTGCGCCGCTCGCCTGCTCGCCAAGCAGCTGCACGCCCTCGCCCTCACGCCCGCTCCCCTCCACCCGTCTGCAAACCCTTGACGGCCGCAGGACCGAGGCCTTCCGCGATGACGTCACCACCCGCACGTTTGTGACCGCCGCGCTGCAGCCATGGCCCGAGAACCTGCAGACGCCGTTTGCGGCGGTCCGAAAGGGCCTCGGCCGCGCAGGCGACATCGAGGGTGGCACGACGGCGCTGCTCGCGGCGAGCGCGATCAGGACGGCCGACTTTGGTGATGACGTCATTGGGTGCCTCCCGCCGGTGCCGTGGCGGGTGACGGAGGCGGATCTGGCAGCGCGGCGGGACCTCAGGTGAGCGGGTCGAGATGATGCATGCGTGTGTGTATGATTTTTGTGTGTGTGTGTGTGTGTGTGTGTGTATGTTTGAGTGTGCCGGTGTGTTTGTGTTTGAGTGAGGGAGTGAGCGCACCTGCGTGTGCGTGTGTGCGTGGCAGCCGTGGCGTGCCCGCGGCAAACAGGGTGCCGCATCTGAGGGGCTTTCTGCGCATCCTTCAACGGATTTCACCCATTGTACGGCAGTTGGTCCCCCCCCCCCGGGGGACGGGACCAGCTTGTGGCCTCCCCCACTCCGGCCACATCCAAGGCCCCCACCCGGGATCTCCTCTGCGCGACCGCTCAACCCCCGACCTGGCCGCGGCATCAAACCCGGAACCTCCTCTCGGCAGGTCCTGGCGCATCTTCTCCATAGATCCCATCACCGCGCGCGACCTGGACGACGCACTCTCAATAGAGCGCGTCCCTCCGCCGGGCGGCGCCGACGGCGCGGGAGGCGCGGGCGGCGCGGGCGAAGCAGGCGGCGGCGGGGCCAGGTGGCGCGTGGGCGTGCACATCGCTGACGTGGCGAGCTTTGTGCGGCCGGGGACGCCCCTCGATGCGGAGGCGCTCGCGCGGGGCACCAGCACGTGAGCCGCGGGGATGCAAGGTGCACGGCCCCTGCCGGGCGGTGCTTTGGGTTGCAGCAGGCACGACGCGAAAACGGATCAAGTGCTGTAGCAATTCAGTGATCATCTGGCAATAGTGCTGGCGCTTCGGCGCCTCTGCAGCATCACCAGCTGGGCAGCGAGACGGCATCATTGGGTCAGGCACGGTGGAGCTCCCGGGAGGCTCCGTATTCGCAGCTTCTGATTTCAGTAAGGCGTCAGCAGCTGGGTCCGTCGGACCCATTTCTGACGGCGCCCGACCAATGAGCACCCCTACCCCCTCTCAACACCCGCATCTGCCCGCTCGTCTTCCCCGCCCAGCTACCTGGTCCAGCGCGTCATCCCCATGCTGCCGCGGCTGCTGTGCGAGCAGCTCTGCAGCCTGAACCCCGGGGAGGAGCGCTTCGCGTTCTCCATAGTGTGGGAGCTGGATGAGGACGGCAACGTGCTGGAGGAGTGGGCGGGCAGGTGGGGGGGCGCCATGCCTTGTCGGGGTGCCCTGTGTATGGGGTTCAGGGTTTTTGCTCACCTCTTTTGCGCACATCCTGGAGCCTGGGCTCGTGCGTGCATGTGGGCGGTTGGTGGTGTTGGTGATTGGCTAGGTTTGGCTGCCAATCTAGTGGCCGTGTGGGCTGTTCAGCCGAGGACTGCTATGTGCATGCGCTAGCAGGCCCATGCGCGCACGCGCGCACACACACACACACACACACACACACACACACACAACCCTACTCACTCATGTGCCGCTCTCGTGCTCCCGTGTGTACACCACACTCACACACACACACTCTCTCTCTCACGCATGCTTTCTCCCCAAACCCCAGGAGCGTCATCCTTTCCCGCGCCAAGCTGGCATACCCCATGGTGCAGCAGATGATCGAGGGCTGCTTCGACCCCACGCGCTGGCAGGTCGCGCTGCACGGCGGCGCCACCTGGCAGGAGGTGGGCTTCAGCACAGCTTCCCTCCAGGGGCCGCGAAGCTTCCCTATTGCGACCCTCCCCTAGGGGCACCATGACTCAGGCGTTGTATTGGCAGCTTTATTCCCCTTCCTGCGGCACGCACCCGCGGGTTGCATGGTTTGCGGACCATTGGCGCCTCGCCTTTCCGCTGTGCCTAGGAAGCCTCAAAGTCTAGGTTTGGCCCGTTGTCTTTGGACCCCGCGCCGCAGGTCGAGGCCGACAGCCTGGCCCTCCATGCGATTGCGCGCCGCCTGCGCGCGCGGCGCTTCGGCAACGGGGCCCTGCGGCTTGACAACACGCGGCTCTACTTCACCCTGGACGCAGAGGGCCAGCCTGTTGCGGGCGCGCCCTACGTTCAACAGGTCCGTCCTTTTGGCCGCATGGCATCAAAGCCTCACACACACCTCAGTGCATCTTGCTGCTTTCTTGCTGGTTTTGGGTGCAGCCCCGTTACCTGCAAACGAGGGCTGCTTTAGGTCTGTCAAAGCCCCATACCCCTCAGTGCATCTTGCCAGCTGTCTGCTGGCCCTGGCTTCAGCTCCGGAGCCTGTTATCATAGGCCCCAGCAGCCCGGCAGACCTCATCTGACCTGATCTGAGGTCACTCGGCCTTTTTTACAAACCCACTCACACACACATGTGTATATCTGTATGCATGCACACCCACACCCAAAAATGTATCTGTATGATGATGTATAATGCATGTATGCAAGTGTCCTTTACCTTCATCTTCACCTGACGATGAAATGTTGTGACCATCATGATCTGTCGACACCCCCCTCAGGAGGCCAACCAGCTGGTGGAGGAATTCATGCTGCTGGCCAACATGAGGGTGGCCGGCCTCATCAGCAGCGCGTTCCCAGACCACGCCATCCTCAGGCAAGCGGGACATGAGACAACCCTCCCCCACCCCCGGCCCCTCCGGGTCGCGGCTCCAGCGGCAATCTCTCTGCAGCCCTGGCAGCTGCACCCCCTCATCCGATAGTGCTCATTTTGCCGCCTCGCAGCCGGTCGCGTCCTCATCCTGAACCTGGCATCTACACCCTCGTTGGCCCCACCTTCCCTGCACCAACCTCCGACCCCCAACCCCTACGCCCCCTCACCCGCCCAGGTGCCACCCCACCCCCAACGAGCGGAAGATGAAGGAGCTTGAGCTGGCGGCGCAGGAGCTGGGGGTTGAGCTGGACATATCATCCGCAGGTCAGGGGGTTCAGGGCGATGAGGGCGATTGGGGCCGTTGGGGCGGTTAGAGCGGGTGGGGCGGTTAGGGCGCTTGGGGCAGTCCTGGCAGTTGGGCCACGTGCATGAGTACTGACATATGACCGGCATGCTGACACATGCAGCATTTGCCGTGTCGTGGTGTCAGCAAGCAACAGTGGCTGCTGTGCGCGGCACAGCGCGGCTCACTTGGGGTGCCAGCGCGCAGCCAAGTCTGGCTGACCTCAACAGCATCGCTAATCTGTGGTGCGTGTAATCAGAATTGCCACACACCTTGCTCGCCGGCCCGCCACAAACATGCGATCAAGTATGATAAAGGCCCCTCGAAACCCACAACCAACACACCCTGCCACCTTGGACGAACCCCCAGGTGCCCTGCAGCGCTCGCTGGCGCGGCTGCGCGCCGCCACCGACGACGCCGGCACCGCCGAGGTGGTCACCCTCCTGGCCACGAAGCCGATGCAGCTGGCGCAGTACTTCTGTACCGCAGGGCGCGACAGGGCGGCGTGGGGGCACTACGCGCTGGCCATGGACCTGTACACACACTTCACGTCACCCATCAGGCGCGCGCGCGGGCAACGAAATTCACACTCCCCGGACGGCGCCGCCGGGCACGGGCACCGCCCGCCGCTGCAACGCGCCCTCGACGCCCTGCTCAAGACGTGCTTGCGCCCATGTCAGCCCCTGTGCTGCCGGCGGCGCGTTTCCGCGGCGCTCTCGGCAACTCTAAATGCAACGGGTCCCGCCCGGCCTCTGCACACAGTGAAGCACATGCATCATGTGCGCCATGTCAAGTCTCATGTGTCTTGCTCCAGAAGCGGCCGACCGCGGGACGCTGCAACAATCCTGATCCTATTCCTTATCCTCATCCTATTCCTAAGACTAATCCTGATCCTGTTGCATCAATCCTTGCAGGCGCTACCCTGATGTCCTGGTGCACCGCTTGCTGGCCGCGGCCCTCGACCTGCAGTCCGGCGCCGCGCCCTCGCCCACCGCCGCGCTGCTGGCGCAGGGGCTGCCGGACGGGACGTGAGCGCGCACGGGCGGGGGGCCGCGTGGGTGGGGAGCGCGGGAGAGCGCCGGCGCGGCTGGCCGACACGAGGTTGCGGAGCGCCCTGCCGACGCGACGCCCGCTCTTGCAAATTCACGGCCACGTCTCCTGACTTTGGTGACCGATGTCGAAAAGCACGACTACATAGAGGGAACGTCGCCTGCGCAAAATGCATTTGTGCACCAAAATGCTCACCCGCCCCCCTCCCCGCCGCGCATTGCTTCGTCCAGCGAGATGCAGCGGATGGCGGACCACGCCAACGACACGCGCAAGGCGGCCCGGGACGTGCAGGTGGGGCCCGCGCGGCGGTGCGCCGCTGAACCGGTGCGGCGGGCTGGCCCTGCCGGCGCTGCACGCCAGGAAGGGTCGCTCTTCTGTCTGGCACTTGCCGCGTCGCGCTCGACGCGCTGGTCCCTCCCCTAGTCGCCACCCCACCCGACCCCACCCCCTCTGGGTTTTCTGCGACTCCCTGGGCGGGGCAACTTCCTCCTGCCCCGTGGTGTCCGCCGCCGCCGAAGGCGACCCGCTGCTGCGCCGCAACCAATATACCGCGACCCCACCCTCCCTGTGAAAATGAACAAATCCATCAATCATCCAAACGTCCACCCTGACCCCTCGCCCTCTGCAGGATGGCAGCCTAAAGCTGTTTTTGGCCGTCATGCTCAAGGCCGCCCCCACGGTGTCAGAGGCCGTCGTCACGGGCGCGGGTGGCGGCAGGTTCTTCACGGTATACCTACCAGAGTTTGGCACAGAGTGAGTCGCCGCAACTGATGCTGCTGCTGTGGGGGTTTTGGTTGTCCGCGCTGCTGGGGCTGGGGGCGAGCTTGGATGGGGATGTGTTGCTGCTGCTGTTGGCGTTTGGTTGCCGCTCGCTGGGGCCGGGCGCCTGCTTGGATGGGGACGTGTCGCCGCTGCTGCGGTGGGGGTTTCTGTTGCCCGCGCTGCTGGGGCCGGGCGCCTGATTGGATGGGGCCGGGGCATGGAGGGAGGGGAGCCTGGATGGCATTTGGTACTGAAAGGGGCGCCGCCTGCAAGGATTCTAGGGCGAGAGGGTTGCTTAAATGTGCTGTGGGGCGTGACAAAGGCGAGCGGACGCGCAGGCGGTTGGGGTGGGGTGGGGGCTGTGCTCTTCTTCGGCGAGGACTGTTTGGGCTGTTTGGCGACAAGGGTGGTGAGGCTCTTGACGCTGCCGCGCGCGTCGCCGGCGGCGGCTCGCCGCAGGGCGCGCATCACGCTGCTGGAGGCTGGGCTGCAGGGCGCGTGGGACCAGAACGCGAAGACAATCACGGTGACAGCTGCGCCGGCGCCGGCGGGCCAGCAGGGTGCTGCGGAGCCCGGCTGGGGCGGCGAGCAGCAGCAGCCGCCGGCCGGAGGCTTTCCGCGGGGCGGCGGCGCCGGCGCCGGCTGGCGGAGAGGCGGCGGCGCCGGCGGCGGCGGCGGGCGCGGC